GACCTGAACAGGATGTGGATGGGGTGGCGTGGAAGGGGCCCTGCAGGAAAGGGATGGATGAAGCCAAGAACTTGACACTCCTGAGAAATCACGTTCTTCTGGACAGGGAGACAGGCTGGGCCGTCTGGCTGAAGCAGAAGCTGAAGATTTTCAGGAATTTTAACTGTCATCACCCAGACTCTGGGCTGGCACCAGAAAAAATAAAAAAGACAAAACCAAAACCCCAAACCAAACTGATCTCCTGCTTCTCTTTTCGTACAGCTCAGTCATTGCCCTCTGTGACCAAAGCCACTGGGCTGTCATCAGGTCCATGCTGCTCCTTCTGGGTCAGTTGGAGCCCATCTGAATCTCGATTCCAAACACACCCGCTGCCGAGCATGCCTGGCGGTTGTGGCTGCGCAGAGCCCCAGGGGTGGGTTTCTCCCCACAGAGCTTCTGACAGGCATCTGCACGGGAAATCTAGCTCCCAGCATCCTGGCGGGTGGTCTCAGATCTTCCAAACCGCCAGGCGAGTGGTGCCCAGGCCAGTGGAAGTAGGTTGGGGGGTGGTGGTAAGGGGGTCTGCCAAATAAGCTCTGGCATCCACAGCTGGCGCAGCCTCTGGCTCTGGGGGAGAGGGATCCTGCTTTGTTCTGGGACCAAGAGTTGCTTTCTGTTTTCTGAACCAGCCAAGATATCATCTGAGATGGCCACCCTCTTACTCCTGTGATAAGTAAGGGAACAGTAGTAATGATGATGGCTGTCCTGTATCAGGCACCCACTCCCGCTATGCCCTGTACAAGGTGCTTAGCACTTCACATGTATTAACATGTATACGCCCCTGCAGCTGTGCTTGTTTATCGCCAGCCACACCCACTTCACAGATGAGGCAGAGTGACCTGCCCATGGTTGTGCATCCAGCGACTTCTGAGTGTGTGTTTCTTACTCTTGGATGGAGCTTCGGGACTCCTCTCCTACCTGACTCTTAGCTTCCTTCGATAGACAGGGCACAGTATATCAAGTTGGGCAGCCAATGCTTAAGACTGATGGTCACAGTCTTCTTTAGTTGATCAGCCTGTTGGGCACTGGCTTCCATGCTCCCATATCCGCCCTGCACCTGGGGCAGACACTTCCAGGGGATCCTGGGCTCACTCTCCTGCTGACATCAGCCTGGGTCTCAGGACTCCAGTGTTCTTCAGAGGATGCCAGAGCATGACTGAGTCCCCCGTAGCACTGTCTCCAGCTGACTTTTGCTTTCCCCCACTCCACTGTGGGCCTTGGGGTCTCCTTGACCTCCTTTATTCCTGAGTTCATCCCTGGGCCTCTCCCCCCAACCTACTAGGTCTTGGCACCTGCTCCTCTTCCTTCAATGGACTCCAGTGCACCAACACTACTCATGGCCCTGGAATAACAGATCTGGCCTGTCTTGAATTTCCTTGACATTGGACATACGAGGGGAGATGGTTAATGACATATGACTAATAAAGAGCACTGATTCTCAGGGTAAAATGAGCACTATTTAATTTCATGCCAACTCATGATGACAAGAGATAAAAAAGAAGGCAGGTTTGTGTTTAGAATCAGGTATGTCTGTATATATCTGCCTTGAAATTCTGGCATTAAGGAATTCCAGGCCTCAGTGGTGGACCGGGGGCCCTCTCTTCCTGTTCCTGATGGTGGTGGGGTCTCTGGGATGCAAGCACCACCAGCCTTGGCTCTGGCCCAGGTGTGCAGGGTGTGGGCACAGAAGTGTTGCAGCCCTAGCTACGCCCAGACCCTGCAGTGCTCCGTGCACCGCTGCCCAGGAGCCCAAGAGCCCCAGCAGCCCTTTGTCACTTGCTGCCCAATGTGCATTCTCCAGTGGGCACAGCAGGCCACCCTGCTGCAGGGCCTCTGCCCGAGCCTGGGATTATGGGCCTGCCTGCAGCGGCAGATGGTAGCGCTTAGAGCTAAACTGCACTCGGCTGCTTTGAACATCTTGAAAAGATTTCTTTAGAAGTTAAACTTGGCCTGGGAGTGACAATATGGTTCAGTCTGTGGCTTTGAAAAGGCCTCCGGTGGGGCGGGGTGGGGTGTTTCATGTCTCCCCGCCTCCCTTCGGCTCTTGTTCTGGGACCTGTTTTTCATGCGTCCCTTGGCCATTGCAGCTCGTGTATGTCAGCTCCATTGTTTGGGAGTCACATTTGCTTCTGGTGCCTGGGCTGCAGGAAGGCCACTGTAGCTGTGTTGGGCTGCCCCACAGGGTGCATTTAGATGCCCCTGGGCAGTAGCACAGGCCTGCATCTTTTTGGTACCTAGGAGTCAGGGGCATGTCTGTGCCGTGGAGCTGTTTTTCTGTTGCCCCTGCTTTAGTCCATTGAGGGGCTGCTGAGGCAGAGGTTTGGGTCCCAAACCCTTTGGCACCAGCCTGGACCAATCGACAGCTTCCTGAATCCTGGAACGCCTGGCTAATTGCCCTGGAATAATACCCTCCAAATCTCTATCCTAGGTTTGTCCTGCTTAACGAATCCATCCAGGGACAAAGGGTTAGATCATCTCTGGGCTCAGACAGCATCTCCCCTTCCCCACCCTACCATTTTCCTGCCCTTGATTTGGCCATTCTAGACTCCATCAGGGAAGACCCAACCTGCCCCACAAGGAAGCCCCCAGAAAAGTGCCACCAGGGAGAGAGGTCTTTCAATTGGCAGAAAAGAAGCACGGTGCTCCGCTCCTGGCCAGGCTGGCCACTCTCTCGCAGGAGCTTCAGCGGCAGGAGCAGGCTGCATTGCCCATTCATGAGACGTCAGGTGGTCTACAGATGGGAACACTGGTTATTGATTTTTACTAGCCTGCTAAAACTGAAGGGAAAAAATCCTTCTTAAAAGCTCCCGGTGAAGCTTTGTTTCCTAAACGATGATTCCAGGGCTCCAAGTTTGTCAAAGGCAAATTTAAAATATTGGGGCTGTTGGAGATATAATAAAATGAAATCTTCTTACAGCCATTAACTTCAGAGAGGAGCAGATCTCTGCTCAGGCTTGGGGGCTGAGTGGGAGGGGGCGAGACCTACTGAGGGGGCGGGGAAAGGAAGCCAAGAACAAAACCCACATCTCCGCCCCTGCCGCTGCGCGCAGCTCCTCTGATAAGATCCGATGTGGATATGAAGAAATGATTTCAAAGGGCTCTAAATTGACAACAGTTCCCTGGCTAAGCAACTACAGGGAATGCAGTGGGGGTGTCAGCCCGATGGGCTCCTGACTTGACAATGGGAAAAATTAGGATGAGCTCAGGGGGAGGAAGCTGGAGAGAGGAGGCCCCCATCGACCCACCCGGTTACTTATTTAGACGTTGTTCTCTTGTCTGTCTTCCCAACAGTGAGGATTCCACCTGCCCTGCACCCTCTCCAGCACAGTCACATTGCAGAGGTGCCTGTACTTGCTGTGGGCTTGCTGGGACTTAGGCAGTTCTTGGTGCCATCTTGCAGCTCATATGCGCCCATTGGGTTGTTTTTCAAGGAATATTTCGCATTAGGTAAGGCCTCAAGATGCCCCAGCAAGTCCACCAAAGGGCGGGACTCATGAGATGGCTCTTAGAAATGAGTGTTCTGCCTTGTGACTGAGCCACTATATCCTTAGTGTGTGTGTGCGTGTGTGAATGCACGTAATGAGTATGTACAGGTGTGTACATGTGCATGTGTTTGCATGCATGTGTGCATAAGTGTGCACATGTGTGCACATGTGTTCACATGCATGCATGTGCAACCGTCTCTCTCTGCCTGTTGAATCAAGATGGGAGTGCCATTTTCTGGTTCTGACTCCCTTCCAAACTGCACAGTGTCACTGCGGCATTGTAGACAATACATTGATCGATTGATTGACTTTTTGAAATTAAAAGAGCAAGGAGCTGGGAGTCATGAGCCCTGGGATCTGACCAATGGATCGATCAACAGATAGCTATTGAGCCTAGGAAAGCACTGGTCTGGGTACCATGGAGGATTCAGACAAACAAATAATATACTCTCTCTCCCAGGGTAACAAAAATGTGCTGGGAGCCACCAATTTCTATTGGGTCCTCAGACTATAGGTCCTGAGATCTTTGGGGTTGGACAAGAATTTGGGAATCCTCTGGTTCCAATCTCTTATTTTGTGGACGAGAAACCCAAAGCTCAAGGAGCTGAGCTGACTCATGTCAGCACCCACTGGCAGGTCCTGAATTCTAGCCTGTAATTGTCGACCCACTGACACCTCTGCTTTTCCTAACAGATACCCAAGTTACCAGTGGATCCAGGCAAGTCAGACCTACCCATCTTCAGGCTTTCTCTTCTGTCATGTGGGTGGGGTAATTGCTGGAAAGTGCTGAGAAACTCAGCAAAAATGACCTTGGTCACCTCCTTTAGTCCATTCATAGCAGAGGCCATTTATACAGTGATCACACAGCAACTAGCTATTATTCAGGAATAATGCAATTCCAGGTGCTTTGCCAAGAGCTCTATCTTTATCATCAGTTTTAATTCTTGGAATGGCTTCATGAAGTAAATACTGGTGAGGACACTAAAACTTAGAGAGGTGACATGACTTGCCCTTGGACACACTGCACACTGATGGTGTCAGGATTTGCACATGAACACCAGGTTCAGTGGTCAAAGTGCAAAAACTTCAGCAACCTAGTTGTGTTTGTTTCTATGGTTCCCAAGGATTGTCTGGCATTTATTTAGTGCTAAAACACCCAACAACTTCAATGTAGACAAAATATGGGCCAGCACCCATTTATAAAGCTGAGATTCAGTGGCTAGACTGATATAGGGACTAACCTTATTTCATTAAGGGCTGGCAGCATGTTGCCAGACTTTATAAGCATATGGGAAAAGGGGCTGTAATTAAGTCTGTGGAACAGCAGGCTAACACAGAAGGCTAGATTATCAGGCTTGTGGTTTGAGGGAATCCTTCCTCTCATCTCCCAGAAAGACAAGTGGTTTTTTCCCATTTTAGAAATTTTTAAAGAAACAGATTAAGATTCTAATTGCCCATCACATGCCTTGCAAACAATTTCCAGTGAAAATCAAATTCCTTTCTTTTGTAGCAATGAAGTCTGCTTATGGTCAGAGACCAGGTGATCAGTCAGAAAGATGCCCATACACTTGGTACTTCCCCCACTGTAGTTTTGGTAGAAGCATGATATCACGATTGAGTTTGATGTTGGACATGCTTTTGGTTTGTCTTGACCTCTTCAGGAATAATCCAGTATTACCTACAAGGAAATATTCGCAGAAAGAGCAAAAGGAAGTTAGCTGATCTTTGAGCAAACTGGTTTTACTCGGGCTCCATTTTGAGAAAGTGTAACAGAGGCTCTAGGAATTTCAAGGGCAACCTTTCGTACACCCTTCTCTTCTCTGCCCCTGCCCTTGCCCTTCAATGAGGCTGTTTGGTTAGTCTCTGACCGTAACCACGGTAACCAGCCTGTGCAGAAAGGACACTTCTTGGTCCAATCTCTATAAGAGGATGGACACTCTGCAAGGGTTAACCCCAGAGGGGACCCTGGTGACCAGTGGTGCAGAATCTCCGTCTCCAGAGCTATTGGGGCCAACTGACAACTGCAAGGCTGAAAGTGTCACCGAGAGACAGAGGAGGAGAGGGCCCTGTGGATAGGTTTTTATCACTTTGGTGAACACTTCCAATTCCAGGCATGAGTCCTGAGGCTGTGTCTGGCCATCAGTTTTCGTTTGTTGATTTACATGGATGCATATTGTAGCTGGCTTCCAAAGCACATCATTTGGGTCAAGGGGTTGTTTTTGTTCATGGGAATTCTTGAGGGAATGTGGGAGGATGCAGACATCCGGGGAGTACACCGCTTTACCAAGTCTCATCAGTTGGGGTGGGGGGCAGCATCTGTGTTCTCACAGGCCAGGGACAGGCAGCAGACGGGTGACTGCTGCACTCCCCATCCTGGCCTGGCCCCATGCTCTGGGCAGCCTACCTCAGCCTCTGCAGTATTGACATTTTGGGTAAATTGGTTTTTGTTGTGAGGGGTGCTGTACACGCATCCTTCCAGGCTGGGCATCTACATACCAGATACCAGTAGCAGTCCTTCCCCTGGCCTTAATAACCAAAAATGTCCCCAGACATTGCCAAATTGAAAACCATTGGCTCAGTGTAGCCAGAGAGTCAACTCACCTAGATTTGCTACCTGCTGGGGGAACTCCCAGAGTTTAGGATTCCTGGAGATTCAAAGGTATGTGGGGCTGGGAGAGAGGATGAAGTTGGGCCAGAATCACCCTCTAGAAAAAAAATAATCAAGTTAGCCAACCCTCTGCAGATCCCCCAGTAACCCAGCACTTCACGGTTAGGATCTCACGCAATTTCCACAACAGCCCCATTGGAGAGTGATTCTCATTCTTCTCATTTTGCAAATAAGGAAACTGAGGCCAAGAGAAGTTAAACAGTCTGTCTGCAGCCAAGGACTAGTTAGAAGCAAAACTGGGATTCAAGCCTGGGTCTTGCTGGCACCACTAGATGTTTAAGAGCTACGAGAAGTCGGGAGGAGCCCTGCTCCCACACATGGCCCCCCTGGCTTTTATTACCTTTTCTGCAGCAGTGCCCACTGTCAGGGGTGCCTCTGGCTTGCTGCCTGCGTGACAACGCTCACACAAGAACAAAGAATGGCCCTGCTTAGCCGCACCTAACTTGGGCAATACTCAGTCTCTCCTGGAGGCACACCAAGAACCTTCCTTGGGGACACAGGGCAGAACCTGGCAAGTCCCAGGTGGCACTGACCTTCCCAGCCCCAGTACTTCCTCAGCCTGCCACGTTGCCCTGGGAAAACCGTGGCTTTGTACAAAGGTGCCGCTCCAATGTGCTGCTTTACCCTCCCCCACGGTGTTTACTAAACAAAGCTGCTGCACAGATTCGGGGCCTCCAGGGAACGTGGCAAGGTGGAAGGCCAGGGGTCAAGGAGCAGGGTCAAAGGGCTGGGGCCCTGGGGAAAACGGGAGATTAAACATCCTCCTTTTCAAATCGGGAGGTTTGGATAATTAATTGGTCTCTGAACATGAAAGCTCTCACTGATTGTTCTGGGCGGCAGCAGCCACTGGGTCTGGCTGCTCATTCTTTCTGCCCTGAGCCCTTTGTGTAGCACCCATGCATGCTAAGGCCCCAGGGAAGCTTTGCTGGTGCTGGGCCCACATGGTCCTGTCCTCTCCAGTTCAGCAGAAGTTGGTGTCTCATGCAGAAGGTGGACCCTGAGGGACCTGGCTTGAGAGAGCAAGGAGAGTTGGGGAGGGGTTTGCCCCCATGCGGGGCCACCCTGGAATCTCTGGTCGGGAGGAAGCAGCTGGGTGGTCCGGCCTCTGGTTTGCTCCTTTCCACTGGCAGAAGAGGAGACATCAGGGTGACCATTGCGGGTGGGGTGATAGCCTGCCTGTGGGAAAGTGAGATTCGTTCCTTGAAGTCTTTTAAAATCCCCCTTCGAACCCATCCCCCACCCCTGCTGTGACAAGCACCACAAGCATGAAGACACACCAGTCGGTCCACAGGGATTCACCAGCTGCCACAGAGACCTTGCTCATCAGCGTGACCTCGTTTTACAGATGAGAAGACGGAGGCTTCTTAGGAACAGGACAGTGGAGCTGGGTCTCTGCCCCAGGGCTCCTGCCTGCATTGTCATTCTCTAGGGGTTGGGGGAGACCCTGAGCCGGCAGCTTCTCTACCCTAGAGAGCAACTTGCTAGGTCCTGGGAGCAGCCATTTAGGGCAGGACCATGCTGGGCTGAGGACACCTCTAGTAGAGTCAGGATCTCACAAGAAGGTCCTAAGAGGCCTGTGCTGGTGACACCTTGGTCAAGGATGGAGCAGAAAGTAAGGGGACAGGCTCCAGGTGGGGGTAGGCTGGGGGGCGTCCTGAGCGGCTGCTAAGTGCCCTAGAAAACGAAGCTTAAAGGGCTCTTAGCTTCCCTTTCTTCTTTCCTGAAAGAATCAATCGGGTTGCTCTGTCTTTGTGTGTGTGACGGGCCTGCTGTGAAGTACACTTAAGGAATCAAGTTTTCTAAAATTCTATAAATCATTATTCTAGCCTTCTCCCCTCCCCCTCAAAATCATTCATCTGCTGAAATATTTAGCGATGGGCTGTCTGGGGTGCGCCCGCTGTAGGCCAGTGTGAGGGGCTGTGGGCAGGAGAGTCTGCAGGGGTATCCCTGTGGCCTCCTATCTGCTTTCTATGGACTGTCATCGCAGTGGCCTTTTGGTCCCCTGATCTCTCGTGACTAGGTGGCAGAAACCCAAGTCACATGGTGGTGATTCCTCAGCCCCTCTTAGAGGGCTGCAGAGAGGACAAAGAGGGAGTACCTGGAGGGTACTGGGGGAGCAGGCCAGCAACTCTCCTGGGGGTTGCATTGAGGCCTGCAAGGGGCAGGGGAGGTTGGGTGCACAGGGCAGGGAGGCAGCTGGCGATGGAGGGAGGATGAGACCCCAGGAGTTCCTGCTGCCCATCAGCACTGAGGGCCTGCTCAGCAAGGGTCTGCAGGAGCAGTGGTGACTGAGGGTCTCAGGTGTCCTGTGGATTGTGAGCTGGGCAGGGGAGATGGAAAGCACTGGCCTTTCCATGGATTCAGTTCTTTGGCAGTGAGGGCTTGGGCCTGCTTCTTCTAGCCTGGCTGGAAGCTCCGGCACTTTCTAGAATTTTCCACCCCTTACCCCCTGTACACACACACCCTGACACATGACAGTGCTGACTTAATAGCCACAGTGAATGTCCCTGAAAGGCAGGCAAGACCTGATTGATTCGCCGTGGTTGATCTGTTTAATGTCCCTTCTCCCCAAGCGCCCATCTCGCCCACAGAGGTGCTACATTACCTCGCAGGCCTGGCTGCTGGCCGCTGACACCCTACGCCTGGAGGATGCTTGGGGAGGTTATAGGTGCAACAAGCAAAATGAAAATCCATAGTTTTTAAACCTTTATGAATTGAGAATGTAAACCTGGAAAATGGATCTGGAGTTACTAATGGACAATTGGTCTGCCCAGCCCATCCATCCTCCACACTCCGGCCAAGGCCGTTCACATTATGCCTGGCTTCTGAAAGGGGAGCCCCCCTGCCCACCACCTCTTGTCCTTCCCCTCCACCTCTCAGGATAAAAAGGAAAACAAAGCAGGCTTAGGAAACAGACCTGCAGGGGGCCCACCAACCAGACCCCCCACCCACTTACACTATGTGCCTAGGTGAGGCCCCAGGAAGGTGCTGGCAGGAGGGAGTGACAGTGGCTTTGGAGAGAGGCCACAGTTTCAGCCCAGTGGCTGTCAATGGGTAAAACAGAAAGTCTCATCCCTACCTCTAAATGCTGGCGTGGATCCAGATCCAGCATGGAGCTACCCCTCCCCCCAAGGTCCCCTCCCCACCATGCACACGCACATAGCTGCACTATGGGGTGGGAGGGACACATGGCCCTAGGTCCCCTCTGGTGCTAGCCATCTGCACATACTGAGCATGCTGCTCTTTCAGGGCTTGGTAACATGCTGTCCCCTCTGCTGTGTCACGAGCCACTCACCTCAGGGACGCTTTTCCTGGCAGTGCTCCTATTTGATGTTGCCCCAATCCCACCTGCTGTATTTTCTCGGCAGCAGTAGCTGCCATCAGACATTTTTTTTTAACCTATTGTTTTGTTGAATACCTGACACTCCCTGGTAGGATGTAAGTTCAAGAGGGCAGGGATTATTGTGTTTTGGTTGCTATTTTTTTCTAAGCATCTAGAGAAGTGTCTGGCACAGAATAGGTGAATAATAAATATGTGTTGAATGAATCAATTTGGACATCTTGTGGGCACGATGCACTTCCTCATGTGAAGCCTCGAACTCTGGCTCTACCCACAAGAGGGACAGGGTCTCCTTTCTGCTCCAGAAACTCCCCCCTTGACTGCCTTCCAGTTCTTCCTTCTTTTGCCCTGCTCTGCTTAATTCACATGCTGAGTGACAGCAATTCACTGTCATGCCCACACCTTTGTCTGCTCTCTTTTTTTTCTTTTTAATATTTTCAGTTATAGATGGACACAATATCTTTATTTATTTTATGTGGTGCTGAGGATGGAACCCAGTGCCTCACAGTGTGAGGCAAGCACTATACCCCTGAGCTATGGCCCCAGCCCCAGCCCCTCCTCTCTTTTCTTTTAGGATAAAGTTCACTAATTCACTGAAGAGACTCAGCCCCCTCTTCCCTGCAGCCCCCATCTTTCAGCAGCTGCCCTCTTTCACCCCACTGAGAATACCTGCCCACAAGTGATGCTGAGAAAATTCCCTAAAAGACAGCCTTTCCCTGCAGCCAACAGGAGACACCCCCTCACCTCTGCCCACATGGGAACAAGGAGACTAGCTCAACCCTCTGAGGATCAAACTCTGAACTCAGCCCATGATTCATGAGAGCAGAGAGACACAGCCTTGAGAAGCAGAAAAAGCACAAAATAAGTGATCTATAAATGGTAGTTTCCTTCTGCTTTGGTCTAAATGTTTGTGTACCCCCCCCAAAGAATTTCATATTTTAAAACCTAATCTCCAGTGAAATGTTATTAAGAGTTTGTGTCTATAGAGAGGTGATTAAGGGCAGTTATTCCCTTATAAAGTAGGTCTGAGGAAGCGTGTTTGCCCCTTCTACCATCCATGGATATAGTAGGTGCCATCCATGAGGAATAGGGTCTGTCCCAAACACCACATCTTCTGGCTCCTTGATATTGTATATTTCAGTCTCCAGATTGTTGGCAATAAGATTCTTTTGTCTGTAAATTGCTCAGTCTAGATTATTATATTCTAGCATCCTGAATGTACTAAGATTTTTTTTTTTTTTTAAGATTCCTCTGTATTTTTCACTGCACAAGTCTTGGGCAATGTTAAATCAAATGATGTATTAGTCAGGTTGAGCTAGGTTGTGCTGCAGTAACAAAGGGTTATTTCTTGATTATTCTATGGTAATGAAGGCTTATTTCTTCTTCATACTACATGTTCCCCGTGGATAAGGAACTTTATCCTTCCCTCCACTCTGTGATGCAGGCTGATAGGAGAGCCACTATCTTTAACATTCCCAATTGCAGAGAGAAAGAGAAGATACCATGAATTGACACTCTCTTAAATATCCTACTCAGAAGTGACACAGTTATTCCCATTGGTTTTTGGCTTGAGCAAGTCATGTGGCTACATATAGCTTTAGCAGAGTGGGAAGTACAATTTTGCCATGTGCCTGGAGCATGAGCCAGAAATATTTGCAGGATAGCACTGACTACCTCAGGTGAGAGTTCTTCTGAGAGGGCCACATCGGACCACTGCCAATCCTTTTCCTACCTGAAGACTCTGCTTTCAGGCCAAGCCTGCTGGAGAGACCCTTAGATTCTGCATGGGTCCCTCTACACTTACTCTGAATGTAGCTCTGGCTGCTCACCTCTCACAGCTGCCCTGATGCCTCCAGAGGCCAGCATCTTGTGATATGGCTGCATCAGGATTGTTCACATTGGATGGAGGCTGATCAGCCAACCAGCCCACACCTCCTGCCACTCACCTTCAGCCCTGAGCTCTGATGTAGGGTGCAGCCACCTGTCGAGTGAAGAGGAGGGCAGCCCTGTACCTACTTCCTCCAGTGCTGGACCAGAAAGAACTAATTCTGCCTGCATTGTCACAGAACTGGCTTCAGAGGCTCAGGGCTCAGGGAAGGTAGCGAATGTCTTCTAAGCGTCAGAGTTGGCTTTTGAGTTTTGCCTCTTTTCTCCTTTGTTAAAAAAGAAAAGACTGCCATGGCACATCATTTCAATAACCCCCTTTTCAGTAGCTCAAACTCTCTGGTTCCTCCGTCTTTTCAATGCTTGCCAACCTTGGATGAACCCAATTATCTGCTAGCATTCAAGTAGCTGAGGACTGTTGGGACAGTCTCTTAGTGGCACAGACTGATACCACTGTAATTTACAAACTCCAACTCAAATGAGCCCTCG